GGGTCTGATGGGAATGGAATGCCAGCCACCTATGTAACGTGAAGTGTTCTAGCTGTCACATTAAAAAAGGGAAAAGAAACCGGTGAAATTAATTTTAACGAGGTATTTTGGTTAGCACAACAGATCTAAAATATTGTCATCTCAACTTGTCATCAACATGGAAGAGGATTAATGAGGCGTCTTACATTGTGGGGGGTAGGGATGATGTCTTCAAAATCCAGTCTGTATTTGACACAGCACATCTCAGATGAGACTCGCTGCATCTCCAGTGCTCAGTAGCCACACGTGGCCTGTGGCTGCCCTCATGGATGGCACAGCCCAAGCCCCACTCCAGATCTGCTGGCCCAGGACCCTTTGCTGGGAAACAGAGCCCTTGTCCAGGTGTCGGAATGAATTAATGTAAGTCTCCCATTTTCATCAAGTTGTTTACTTTCTCTGAAGCCTCCGAGGCCACTTCTGACAAAATTCTGCTGTGACTCCCTGCGTCGGAATTCCTCCAGCTCTGCCCTGTCCTAGTTGTGGGACCCTGCGCAAGTGATGCTCTGTGCCCGAGTCCCCATGTGGAAAATGCTATGTGTCTTGTCAGCACGTCGTGAGGACTGAATGACACTTCATGCAGAGTGGCCAGAACAGTGCCTGGTCCTCAGGAAATGCCCAGCGACACTGGACGGCTTACAAAGGCTCTGCTCCAAAACTTAAGTCATCGTGCAGTTCTGGGACCCACCCCGTCTCAGTTCTCTGTGCTGAGGGCCGCCTGTGTCCAGCTGTGCCCAGAGCCAGCTCTCCCCTCCTCCACCCCTGGGGACTGTACAGATAAGCAGTGACATCAAGCCAGGTGACATCAAGCTGGGCAGCAAGCCTGCCACCAAAGCGTCCGGTTTTCTTTGAGCGGTACCTGTTAGGGGTTGACTGTGTCCCCCTAAAGCTCATATGTTGAAGTTTTAACCCCCAGAGCCTCAGAAGGTGACCTTATTTGGAAATAGGGTCCTTGCAGATGTCGTGAGTTAAGGTGAGGTCATACTGGAGTCGGGGGGACCAGCATGACTGGTGACCTCATAAGAAGGGGAAATTTGGACCAGAGACACACAGGGAGAAGCCACGTGAACATGAAGCCATCATCAGGGTGATGCTTTTATGAGTCAAACTTGCCGGAGGTGACTAAGAAACCCCCAGGAGCTGGGGCGAGGGCTGGCACGGAGCCTCCCTCAGAGCCAGAGCCCTCAGAAGGAGCCACACCGAGAACCACCTCGGCCTCAGACTTCCGGGCAGGACATCCCGAGTTGCCCTTGTTCTCTTTAGGACTTTTAGGGCCTCTGGGGAGCAGGGTTGCTTCTTACCATCTCCCTTGGCTGAAGTGGCTATTTTTACATAAGCCGTTGAACTGTGGCCTGCAAGTTAGCATTCTTACCTCCAGCCCAGGATTTCCCTCAGGTGTCCCTGTGCCTGCTCATCACCTATCTTAGCCCCTTGATAACATGATAGTCCGTGTTATGTGGCTTTGGACATATAGTCCACTATACTTCTCAAAGGATGCTCTGAGGAACCCTGGGGGCGTGGGAGGGGGTGTCCCTAGCAACATGTTTCTGTGAGGCCAGGCATTCAACACATGCTTCAATAATTTTTTTATGTTGATTACATGTGGATAATATTTTGAATATGTTGTGTTAAATATCTTAACATTAATTTTTACCTGTTTTTTTGTTTTTGTTTTTGTTTTTTGCCTTTTTTCCATGTGGCTACTAAAAAAGTTAAAATTAATAATATGCGGCCCACATTTGTGGCTGGCATTATATTTCTGTGAATTCAAAAACAGATTCTAGATTCCAGCTCTCTCCTAACAAGCCAGATAGTAAAGAGATTTGCAAAAATGCAAAACAGTGCTACTGTTCTCACTATGGCTTTTGTTGTTTGTTTTGGAAAAACAGTTATTTTTTAGGAAAAAACATATTACTTGTGTTAATCGCCAATGGGTTCATTGTTATTTTTAAACAAGTTAATAATATTGGGTTATCGGAAAAGTCATGACGTATTTTTTCTACATTTTTCGTTGCAAAAATGCGTCATGACTTTTCCAACAACCCAATAGTAATGTTTAAAATTTATACCTTTTGCTTAATTTTGCTTTGAGCCTAAAACGCTTTTGAAAAGTTGTCTATTTTTTAAAAAGTTTAAGAAAAATTAGCCTGAGAGTATGAGGTGTATTAAAATACAAAATCACAATGAAAAAACATATTTAAGTTAAGGATTTATTAAAAATTGGCTTTAGTTTCTACTATGTAAATATAAATAGACAGAACTCATACATATAAATATTGGTTTAGTCTCATCTTCTGCAGGAGTTAAGTTTGAAAGTCAGCTCCAAAGTCAAAACCACTAGTCAAAATGCTCCAATGCCTCTGAAGTCACCATGAAGGAATCTGTCACCCTGGCTTTCGGGGAGTCCCGGGTGACGTTGTGCCTTCAGCCCTGGAGAAGGTTGCTGTTTACGAGGTTGGGCCCCAGACGCAGTGGCCAGCTTGCACACAACAACCTGGCCACTTTTGGGGTTGCGGGGAGGGTGCAAAACATTCACACTGTAGATGCATTTAGAGACTCGAAAAGCCCCGGGTTCAAGACGTCCCGTCTCATGTGTGCTCTGGGTCCACACTTACGTCATCAAATCCCACATCCCCCCACACCCTGCTCTTCCCCTCTTGCATAGAGTGGGTTGTGTATCAGTCAGTCGATCTCAAAGCGAGGCGCTCAGCTCAGTGGCAGCAGCAAGGGCATCCCTAAAAGCTTGTAAAAGGTGGGGATTGCCTGGCCCAGCCCTGACCTACGGAATCCCATGTCTTGGGGTGGGGCCCAGCTGCCAGGGTGTTCTGGGGTACACACTCGAGTTTGAGAAACATTGCTGTATGTTAAATGCCGGTGGGAGGTGATTCCCCATGAGCAGTGTAAAGGGCGCTGTGATGAAACAATCAGACAATTCCAGAATGTAGGACTTCCTGCAAGAAAACAAGTCTGGACAAACTCGTCTTCGGAAGGTCCGTGTCAGGGGACTCTTCTAGATTCAAGAAGACTGACACACCACGGCCACGTGCAGCACAGAACCGTGCTTGGGTCCTGGTTGGGGGAGAACAGATATAGTAAATATATTCCTTCACCCAAACTGCTAGATCTAATTAATGAATTCAGTAAAGTTGCAGGGTAAAAAATTAACATATAAAAGTTAGTAGCTTTTCTGTACACTAACCATAAATTATCTGAAAGAGAAATAAAATGATCCCATTTACAATAGCATCAAAAACAATAAAATAGTTAGGAATAAACTTAAGCAAGGAGGTGAAAGATTTCTCCTCTGATAACGATAAGACATGAAAGAAAGAAATCAAAGAAGACACAAATAAATGGAAAAGTATCCTGTGTTAATGAATTGGAAGAATTAATATTGTTAAAATGTCCATATTACCCAAAGCACCTATAGATTCAATGCAATCCCTGTCAAGGCATTTTTTATGGAAGTAGAAAAAAATCCTAAAATTTATCTGGAACTACAAAAGATCCCGATTAGCCAAAGTAATCCTGAGAAAGAAGAACAACGCAGGAGGCATCACATTTCCTGATTTTAGGCTGTAGGAATCGAAACAGTATGGTACTGGCATAAAAACAGACACACAGACCAGTGGAACGGAATCGAGAGTCCAGAAACAAACCTATGCATACATGGTCAACTAATATTTGACGAGAGCCAAGAATACTCGATGGAGAAAAGGTAGTCTTTTCAATAAAATTGGAAATTCACATGGAAAAGAGTGAAACTAGACTCCTATTTTACACCACTCACAAAAATCAACTCAAAATGGATTAAGGACTTAATGTAAGACCGGAAACCATGAAACTCCTAGAAGAAAACATAGGTGGTAAGCTCTTTGAGTTCGGTCTTGATGATGATTTTTTTTAGATTTGACACCAAAAGCAAAAATAAACAAGTTGGGACCACATCACACTGACAAGCTTCTGCACAGCAAAAGAAAGGATCAACAAAATGAAAAAAAACTATGGAATAGGAAAAATATTGCAACCCATGTACCTGTTAAGGGGTTAACACCCAAAATATATAAAGAACTCATAATACTCAATAACAAAAACCCAAATAATCCAATTAAAAAATGGGCAAAGGACTTGAATAGATGTTTTTCCAAAGACCATAACGAATAACCAACAGGTACGTGACAAGGTGCTGATCAACATCACGCATCATCAGGGAAATGCAGATCAAAACCACAGTGAGATACCACCTGACAGCTGTTGGAATGGCTATTTTTCAAAAAGATGACAAATGCTGGTGAGGATGTGGAGAAAAGGGAACCCTGGTTACTGTGGGTGGGATTGTAAATTGGCGCAGCCACTATGGAAAACAGTATGGAGGGTCCTCAAAAAATTAAAAATAGAATTACCATCTGATCCAGCAACCCCACTTCTGGGTGTTCATCCAAAGGAAACGAAATCAGTATGTGGAAGACATGTCTGCACCCCCATGTTCATTGCAGCATTATTCCCAATAACCAAGACATGAAACATCCTAAGTGTCCACCGACGGATAAATGGATCAAGAAGTTGTCATGTATACGTGTACAATGGAATATTATTTCAGACATAAAAAGGAGAAAACCCTGCCACTTGCGACAATATGGATGGACCTTGAGGGCATCGTGCTAAGTGAAATAAGTCAGACAGAGAGAGACAAATACTGTATGCTCTCATTTATATGTGGACTCTTAAAAAGAAAAAAACCCCAAAAACCTCATAGAAAAAGAGATCAGATTTGTGGTTACCAGAGACAGGACGGGGTGTGGGGGAATTGGATGAAGGTGGTCAAAAGGTACAAACTTTCAGCTGAAATATAAATAAACCCTGGGGATGTCATGTACAACATGGCGACTAGTGTTAGCACTGCTGGGTGGTACATTTGTACTCGAGTACTAGATCCTAAGAGTTCTCAGGACAAGAAAAAAAATCTTTTTTTTTTTTTGCCTTTTTTGTATATAACCTGATGGGTGTTATCTAAACTTAAGGTAATCATGTCACAATATATGTAACACATTATGTAACCCAACACATTATGCTGTACACCTTAAACTTCTGTAGTGCTGTATGTCCATTATATCTCAATAAAATGGGGAGGGGGTGGGGAAACATGCTGAAGTATGATGTATGCATCTTTCAAATGGTTTGGTAAAAAAAAAGTATGTGACTAGAGAGATAAAGCACAATGTTAACACTTGTGAAACCTAGGTGGTTTCCGTAGGAGCATTTTACTGTTATTTTAACTTTTCTGTTTGAAAATTTTCTTAAGTCAGGCACACGGAAGACGCAACTCGTCCATTTCACTCCATGCTTAGGATGGAACTGCATGTGTGGGTACCAGTTACGATTAGGTTTGGCTGTGAGTAAAAAAGCCCCCCAAATAATAGCAGCTTAAACAAGATGGAAACTTGTTTCTCTTATGTGAAAATTCACAGGTAGGTGGTTAGGTAGGGAGGTGGCTTTGCAGCACGTGGTCCTCAGGACCGAGGCACCTTCCATCTTATTGCTCCCCGATAGGTGACTTTTCTTCTCTCATGGCCCAAGACAGCTGCTCCCACTCCTACCATTGCATCCACATTCCAGCAGGCAGAAGAAGAAGAGGTAAAGGGCACAGCCCTGCCACTTTTAGGAAAAACCCTTTGAAGCTACCACAAAACATTTCCTCTTCCCTCTCCTTGACCGAAGCTTAGTCATGTAGCCGTGAGGGAGACTGCGAAATGCCTTTGTCCTGGGCAGCCATGTGCCCAGCCTGAAACTGGGCATTTGTTATATGGAAGACAGGAAGGAAGGAAACCGAGGGAGAGTTTGCAGGCTCCGCCACGCCATGACAGGCGCTTTGAACCTACAATACGGCAGGCAGTCTGAAAGGCACGCCCTGTCTCCTGCCAGGACTTAGTATGAAGGTTACTGAGGCAGCTTAGTTCCTTGGGCGGTTGGCAATGCCCAGCAGATGAGCTGTGCTGCCCGCCCCTGACTTGTCGGGAAACCCTGGACCCCCTATAACTGGCCGCTGTCCCTCTTTTCTGTTCTGCAGTCTCGAACCTGTCCCAGTATTTCAACCCAGCCTCGGTGGCCAGCAGCCCGACCCGCGCCCTGCTGCTGGTGGGTGTGGTCCTCCTGGCCTACTGGTTCTTGTCTCTGACCTTGGGCTTCACCTTCAGCATCCTGCACGTGGCGTTCGGCCGCTTCTTCTGGGTGTTTCGGGTCATCCTGTTTTCCATGTCCTGCGTGTACATCCTGCACAAGTACGAGGGGGAGCCGGAGAATGCCATCCTGCCGCTGTGCTTCGTGGTGGCCATCTACTTCATGACTGGGCCCATGGGCTTTTACTGGCGTGGCATCCCCAACAGCCCCAGCGTGGAGGAGAAGCTGGAACATCTGGAGAACCAGGTCCGACTGCTGAGCATCCGCCTGAACCGAGTGCTGGAAAGTCTCGACCGTGCCAACAGCAAGTGACAATCAGCCAGCCGGCCGGGTCCCCTCACACCAGCGCCCTCTCTCAGAAAACAGAAAAGAAAAAAGAAAAAAAGAACACCAAACCCCAAACAATCTTAATAAACATTTCCGAGCAAGAGAGCGGCGCTTGGTGAGGGTATTTCCGGCCACAGGCAAACTCCTTAGGACGCGTTCCAAGAGGAACGGTGAGATCATTGACGTAGAACTACCTACGAAGTGTCATTAGTGGAAGAAATATTTTTTAAACAAAGGATATAACCATATTAGCTGTACAGTCAGAGAAGTTTATCTGCATAGAGCATAAAGTTAATTTTTTCAAGCATTTAAATACATCTTTTGTAAGGTTTTTTAATAAAGGCAGATCCGAGTCAAGTTTATTAAAACTTTACGTGGAGGGGAAGAATATGCTAATTCGACATTTTAGAAAAGTTAAGCGTTTCTTTTCACACTGTAGGGATTTGGTGGGTGAGGTCTGTGCATTACTTCCATGTTCCAAAATGGTGAGCTTCATTTTATGCTATTTTTTGGTTGGTGTTGACCAAGCTGATGAATGTTGTCGCTTCTGAATGTAGACGGTTGGGCTTGAAGCGGAAACTAAATGTCTCTTGGATCTTAGTGACCCCAGCCAAGCCCCCGTCACTTATATTTCTAAGTGAAGAAGTCATTATTTGTAGGAAACCTGATATTTTTCCCCCTCCTTCTGTACTTGGATGAATTCTAACCTCAATGTTTTGTGAAGGAAAAACTCAAGGATAGGGTGCAGAAGTGTCTTGAGGGCTAGATGTTGGGAGCTACCTGGGTAGGTGTCCAGGCTCACCCAGGATGTCCCAATTTCACCATTTGCCAGTTAGGCCTATGTAGGAAAGATAAGCTCTCAAGGGC